CGTTCTCTCTTTTGCGCACATTTATCAGTTATTTCTGGCCTATATAGGCCCTCTTTAGCGTCAAAAAGAAGCTGTTGCGTGTACTTTACAACTTTTACAGGAGTACTCGCCGTGCATACGAAACGATGATAGTATATGCGATCTGATCCGCGTCAACGACCAGGATTTGGCAGTGAGGAGGCTTCTTATGGGCTGTTGGAAGCAGCTCACTTGCATGTCACCCTGGCCCCCGGCCGGATGCCATCGTTCAACTGGCGCGTTCTGCTGGCACTATTCTCGGCTCAGACTTAACGATCAGGCCGCAAAGACTGAAGAGTCTAGCCCTTTGTGGACGAAGTTCGTTACGTGAAACCTTTATGTTCTGGTCGTTTATGTTCTTGATAAGGCTGGTGGCTCCTAAGGATTTGCGGTTGGTCCTGATCTCTATCTCTTACCGTGGCTGCAAGACCGGAGCGTACGTCCGGGTCTGAATGCCTTAGTAGCAACAGAAAGCGCAAGGACCGCTTTGCTCGGAAAATAATATCTTATCCAGCGCCGCCCAATTACAGCCCCGCGCGAATCGCTCCTATAACGTTGTGGCGATGAGGAATGTTCCTGGGCTCAGGTCTGGCCCAAACGTAGCCGTGGATTCTTTCATCCTGACGCCACCTAAGCATTTATGATTTTGTTTCAAATGAAATTTGGGGGCCAGCTACGCTCGGGCTGGGCACGACATCGTCCTGCCAACAATGTTCTCTCGTTGGGTTCAAAGTTTCTTTGACAAAACCGTGTTGGTGTCACATGTTTTCCGGGTTGAGGACACGACAAGTTCTGGCTTCTGAGTGCTTAGCTTGGTGACGAAAAGGATGTAGATGATCGCACCAGCACTAAAGGCGATCCAAGTCGTTCCTCACCACATCTTCGAAGCCAGTTGATGCATTATGCAATCATCGCTCTTTATTGGTGCGTTTCGCTAGAGCGCACGTCATCTGCTTGAAGGTTCATGTGGCGGCTTTGAATCGTGCAGCTTTTTCGGTGGGCTTGAGTCGAAGGAAACAACCGTCAAGTTATCGTCAAGCGCCTGTTCTGTAAAATTTCCAACCTTGCTTGGTAATGAGGCACTCTAGCGTGGCTGATTCAGGCAATCCGGTCCTACTGATTTGATGCCATCCACGAAGATGTCTTTGCCTTGGCGTCTTACATATTCCCTGACATACGTCCACAATTTATGCAGCCTTTGTGCACCCTTATGTAAAGGTCACGCCGTTGTATGTTCTTTCTGGAAGTATCCGAAAGTCCTATGATTACTTGTACTGCCTCCGGTCGCAATAGGCCCAGAGCTGCCTGTTTAAGTTACTATCCGGCAGTACTTCTTCTAATTGATCGCTGACTGCTTTTCCGTTTCGTCCTGATTGCAACTAGGTAGAGATGGGCCTCCTTGTACAAAAGAGCCTCAGGCAGCTTCCTGCTGAGAGAAAGCTCTGAGTGCGCTGTACTGCGATAGGACTCGCAAGAGACACTATCTATGACTTTGCTGCCGAAGCTGCGTTTCGGCGCGCATCCGAGTCGCCTCGCATCGCCACTCTGTTGGGACTGCGTTCCCCGTTTTGGAGACTCTCTTCGTTCCTGCTAAGGTCGGTAAACTTGTCCAGCCTTTTTCTCGTTTGAAGCAGGACCTGATGCCCGACACAGACCGAGATGTTGGTCTTCTCTCAGCATCTTTGCGATCAATGAAGTCAAGATCGTTGCAATGACCGGATTCACAGTGGGCTCGTTGCTCATCGCGTTCATTGTCTCACTGAGAATGACGTCGCGTCTGCTTCAAAGTACTCGATGACGTGAAGACCAGCCTTGGGCCGCTCCTGTTGCCTGCCGCATTAAGTTCAATTTCTACTAAGTCATATCGGTTCTGCAAAACGGAAAATCGCAACGGGTCCGCATTCGCTCAAGTATGAGGATTCGGCGGTGGCGAATTGCTTGACGTGGTCGAACATGGTGTGGAGATTAGGGCTTTTGTGTTAAAAACGTCCTGGTTTCCAACTTTTCAACTTGCTAGCTTTTCTTGCTAGCTTGGTGCAGGAGGTCTTACTGGGCTTTGGAAATCTGCATGTCTTAGATACGGGACCAGCTTCCCCAAGCGTCCGTCGGTTACAACAAAATGCTATTGGTGGGGAGGGGCCCTAGCAGCTGTTTGGCTGGTTGCGTATCCACGCTTTTCTGGTCGCGCCCATCATAACAAGACTGAATTCGCTCATTCGAATGATCTCTGACGAGACGTGGGAAAATCTACGGATCGGCCGCTTTTTCTTCTCGCTAACCATGCACGTTACGCGCACCTACAGAGATGGTCATGAATTGCCTTTTCGACTTGTCTGCAAGATTAATTGTAGTCGACAAAACGGCCGAACGCTTCATGCGGCTTGCTTGCTTCCAGATCAGCCGTTCGATCGAGAGGCTGTCTTTATACCAGTTGATGCAGTGTCCAGGTCCCTCAAAACGCTTGCACTTTAATCTACAAGTACAAGAAAGGAGACAGGTGCTGAGATAGGGTTGAACGGAACCCAGTGGCAATGACCGATTGAACCGTCTCTTTGGGCCATCTCGTCTTGGCTCACTGGCTGCTGATGAAATAGTCGGATGTCACAGGTTTCCATTGAAGTGCCGTTCGGATTCAGCAGTCTGTCGCTTTCAATGTAAAGCCGCCGTTTCCTCCATGCAAAGACTGTCTATGTGGCTACTGGCCTTTGGGCGAGTGCTCATGGCTCAGTATCGTAACTTCCTTTTTCACGAAGTAATTTTACTCTTCCCGCCTTCTTTCCCGCGAGCTTTTCTTAAGCAGGCCTTGAACACGGTTCTACTTTCACGTCCTGTCCATATCGACACTAGGGCTCTTTTCTAGTTTGCCATTGATTGAAAGATTGTGAGACCAACATTGCTCAATTGAGGTTTTTGGGCAGTGAAGAACTTCCGCCGTGAGCTCGTTGCTCACCCACGCTAGGACACTATTTCCGACGCTCTCCAACGCCGCTTGCGCCGCTTCCTCAAACCTGCTCACATGTTTTAGCGCACGAACCTCAACCCTCTCTTGTTCTCTGCCGCCATTCGTACGCTATTTTAAGCATTATCATCAGAAATTCTGTCGGCTGGGCTTCGTCCCGAGCCAAGAAGTATGGAGTGATTGATGCCGCCGACCATAGACCATCCAAATTTATGCTCGGTACTCGTCATTGTGACTTGGGATCCTTGCCGGCTCCACTTTCAAACGCCAGCATGTGGAAGGCTTATCTCATCCACTTCGCTTCGTGACTTTCTCTAAAATGAAGCAGCTGCCCAACAACTCTCTTTTGCTTCATTATTCTAAATACCCACCGGCGGATCCCACACCGGATGATGCATATCAAAAAAAATGTTAGAAAGTTCACCGCCGCAAGAATCGCTGTCACGGGCCGTTTCGATGTCTTCCGTGAGGCCCGGGCGCTCAACGGTAGAACGGCCACCTTAAGCAGCTGCAACGCTTTCGGACTCAGGTGCGAGCTTGCGCGGTCTCACGGACAAGCGCTGCCGACTCGAGCGCACCAGGTTTGCCCTACGCTCGAATGGGCACCGATTGCGCTCGCACGCGCGCCACTTTGCTAGGCTGGACGGACGGCTAAACACTCAGGCACAGGAAAAGGGGCGCTCGCTCGTGCACTTGGCTTCTGAAGGTCCGGCCGCGCAAGTGCGGGTTGCTCGGAAGCAAGAAAGTGCGGACCCTTGTCGAGCAGGCGTTGTTCCGGCACAGAAAGTGGCAGGCTGTGGCGATTCTGCGAGACGGGCGGGCAGGTTTTGAAGGGGCGCGGCAAGGGGGCGCGGCGAGGGGATCGAACGCGCGCTCGCGCGCCGCGGAGTGCACATCTCACGCTGCACGTTGAGGATTCCGAAGGGGATACGCGGAGGAGCACGCGCGGTGGAGCGGGCTTGTGGGGGCGCATGCAGCGCGTGGTGCTTGCTGAATCCGGTGTGGATTGAGCATCTCACACGGGGTTTGAGGATTCCTGAGGAGATGATGGTCACGAGAGCACGCGTGGTGAGCTCCTGGAGGACGTACGCGCTCGCGCGGCCCGCGCGCTCAACCTGGCAGAGGGCCCGTGATTGGCGAGAGAAGTGGCGAACAGCGGAAGGTGATGCGCGCTGACTGCGTTTGTGAAACTGAGGTGGAAGTCAAGTTGGACGTCCAAGTATTTAAGCTTTGATAAAGTGCTAGCAGAGTGTCTGTATACCCTTCAATTGGCTGTCGTCATCAACATGCTGATCCTATGCCTAGATATCAGCGACGATGTTTGAGAGCGAATTGTTCAAGGCACAACCGCCGCGCTTTTTTTCAGCACGGGCGGCCTATCACAAAGTGGGCTAGCGCCTCTGAGCTATCATACGTGCAAGAGTGCAGTATGCATGTTCATGTTGAACCGTCACGATGTCGTCTCCCACGAAAAAACTGTATGAGTCCGTTTGCATGTGGACCAGCCGCTGGTACGCGGCGTACTGGCATCACGTACGTACGGTCTTCGAACGACTGCTTGGCGCTCGCTGCGCGTTCCCAACAGGCGGCCGCCCAAAGGATTCGCTCATAAAGGCTGGCTGGCGGGCTCGCGGCGGCCTTTTATGCATCTCGTATAAGCTCGTGGCAGACCGCAACAAAAGCTCATGTCAAGGGATCATATGCTGCGGGCGCGATATCGCGCCCGCATCATCGACAACAAACATAAAAAAGCGCCGCCGCGAGCCCGCTGCAGCCAGCCTTTCACTGTTAGCGGCATCGATCTGTCATGTGATCACGCGTTCTTGAGCAGCACATAAAACTTATGAAGCATAGATTATAGCCAGTCCGCCATGCCAGCATTCTGACAAAAGTAATCAAAACAAATATGTCCATGCCATGATCTGTGCATCGTAATTGTGTGAAATTACTGCGAAACTTGTTCACGGACGACGGTTCTGCATTGCATCCTCATGCTCAGACGGTCGGATCCGGATGCGAAGCGTGGCCACATGCATGCATATAAAGTAGGCGAAGCCCTCGGAATTGAAATTGTTATGCAAAAGTCCGAGTCCTGTCTGAACGACTTCAACTTAACGGTGGACACCGTGACTCGGGCCTAGTCCGGGTCGAAACGACTGAATTAACGGCATGGATGGTACTCGAGGGCCTGGGTTGATACAGCTCAATCAGAATGAGGTCAGACGGTCAAGACCCGTCGCGGGCAATGAACAATTTGTATCTATGTGAAGTTCAGCAACACTGGAGCCGGGGCGAGGCCCCCTCCGGCTGATCCATTTGTTTGTACGCCGTTACAAGTGATTCAATCTCAACAAATGCTTTCCTGTACAACAAAGGACACTAGACCGGCTCACTAAACGACGTCTCTTTAAACGACATCCCCTCGGCGCAACCAAGAAGAACTACTTTGGCCAGCTGCCGATCTCAATACCGTTTCCTGCAGATCGGAGAGAAATAACATATTAGCTAGTTGTCAAAACTGCAATCTAGTGCCAGGCAGCTCACACTAAATGTGGTGAAACGGACAGTTGAGACTGTGGGGGAATACAGAGACGTGGACCCATGAAGATGCAATCTTTCTAAGATTGACCATCTTTCACGGCTGGTTATCTTGTTGACCGCAAAGATGGCCCTATCAAAATAGCCAGCCGACTTCCTTTTCGCCACATCACTGAGTAGACGCAACTCTATTTCCTTCAGAGTCCAAACTGCCATACCCAAAGCCATACTCAAAGCGAACGCCAAGGTCTATGCCCGACAGCAGAACCACGAGTGGCGCTCGGTAAAGAGCTTCCAGAACATGCGCCGACCGAATGCCGCACCCTCTTCGCCCACGTCTTTACATAGGAGGCCAGATACTCAAGCATCCAACAACTGCACTTGTCGCAGATCAGGCTATGCAAGTGACAGCCAATAGCGGTTTCCAGAACGTACCGTCAGGGTCGAAGAAGAATGCCTGCTTGATCGTGTGCCCCTGCTGATCCTTTTCGAAGACGTCGAAGCCCTTTTCCTGCAACCGAACCCGCTTTGGCAGCGTCAGAGAAGATTACCTGGCTCGTTAGTCAGTCGCATTCCCTGCCCACCTCGCAAAAACGCTTGTTTCAAGTCGAAGAAACTTATATAATGAGCCCGTTGATTCATCCAGCTCGGGACAGAAAACGACAGGTGCTGTGGCACTTCGTCACCGAGCAACAAACGTCGTATCAACAGCTCCACCGCGCTCCGCAGATGTCAACGAGGGCAGTAGTAGGTCGATTAAGAAACAGCTTGCCTTGAGCGACTTGACGGCCGCGTCGTAGTCAGACACCCGGAATGAGAGGTGGTGGCCCCGTGGAAGGGCGCTCGGATCCTTCCTGCAGGGATGGAAACGAATTGAGAAACAATTGATTGTAATGAGGGTCAAAGTGCAACTCCGTCACATTTACAACCCGGTTCTCGACCCATCCACCAACTGAGGTAGCAGACAACTGAGGTGTTCGAGAATCCTCTCTGATCAGCAGGGCGCAAATGAAGAAAGACTCATCTCATATAGATCCTCCAGGAGGGAGTATCCCTTCAGAGAAGAATCGTAGATGCTTACGGCACCGAAGACACAAGTCCACTGCGGAACGAATGTTTGATTGGTCAACTTAGACCCTCGAGTGTCCCCAAATATCGAGCGCAATGGGCTTGAATCTCAAAGTTGGTCCTTTGCTGACCTTTCAGCCCAAACAGAAGGAGGACGTTGCGATGGGCCCCTTGCAGAGTTGACAAGATGCTGTCCGCATTTTGGATTGCATCGCGATTCGGTCAGTTCCGGAGTAAGCCTGTGCATCAATTGATTCTCACCGCGAGTCGGGGCCTGCGTTCAAGGGAGACTCGGGCAGCTTGGAGTCGGGGTTGCGCTGAATGATGTGTATCTGCTGGCTGGGGGGGAACTCCAACCACGCGACTTGAAAAGGGCCAAAGGTGGGCGTATCCATCCTCTTGAACCCAAGGATCTGCGAACAAGAAGGACAGAGCTCCTCCGGAATGTGAGGTCTTATACTTGAGCTCCAACTTGAAAAGCAAAGCTCGGTTCTGCTTCTCAGCTCTGACGGCCAGTGGTTTCACTGCCAAAAGGCTTTTGCCAAGCGAACTACCAAGTGCTGCGCCGATACAGTATTTGCCGAAAGGATTTCCACAGAGGTGAGCTGTTCTGTGTAAGCTAAACTGAACAAGGAAGACTCCAAACTTTGCACGCATAGAAGCCAGCTTCTCTGTTCGTTTCAGCAGCACCGAAGCCACCGAATTAAGACTACACCCAATCACAACTTGTAATCAAGAGGCGCAGCTGAAGCTTAGATGAAAGCAGCTGCCCCTCCCTCGAGATGACTCTGAGCAACATACGATCAGAACCTGCCAGCATATCTCCAGACTGATCCTGATAACTATTACATGCTCGGTTGCGCGTGTCCTAACGGTGATTTGTCCCTAGTTTCTCCTTGCCTATGACTGGGCCGAATGCAATCAACAGGTCTGCATGCAGGCAATATCAGACTGACAACCTAGAAGCTGGAGAGATGACCACCCACCTCAGTGTAAAACGCAACCAGTCTGTCGACGTTGTCAGTCTCCCTCGCAATGTGCACCAGCTCCACCCCGGGAATTGGACCACCCATCGCTGCGTAGAAAAACGCCTTGCACCTTTGGCTGGCTTGTTGGAGATATTTCTTAGGTGCCAGATGAGAAAATGCAATGTACCGCAGGCCCGCTCAAAAGCCAAGATGCGCCAAAACTTGCGCCTGAGCTGGGTATGAACGGGTTTGAAGGCAAATTAAAAGAAAAGTGGCACCAGTTACGAGGGCGAATCGGTGGCTGACACGTGGCAGGCCGGAGGTTAGGAGGTTAGAAGAAAGCGGTTGATCTTGACCGTCAGTAGATTCTGAGGTGATCGCTCACCGTTGGATAAGCATGCCCTGTTCCCATCGCCGGCATGATGCATCATTGACTGCATTCCTCGGCCAACTCTGCTCTCGTTTCAGGGGGACGTCTGTTCTTCCGCACACCTCAGACAAATCAGGTACCCGCAATGGCATTGCCCTCAGGACTGTGATTGTTGATCCGCAGCCACTTTTGAGGCCTTCAGGCGGAGTGCTGCGGGACATCAGAGACAGCGTGCTTCAGGCGCTTGGGATTGTTGGGGAGCAAACCAATGGCGGCTTCCATGAGCAGGTTCGCTCCTTTGAGCGGTGCCACACAGATCCGCAGCATTGTCTCTGAACCTCAAGCAAGATCAAAATGCACGTCAAGCTTCTTACAAATTGACGGTGTTTGCAATCTGCCAGCATTGCAAGCGTCCCACTCCCCAGGACAGCGTCACAAACGATCGGCGCTAAGAGCGAAGTCACAAGCGGGGCCACGAGCCGATTGGAGAGCAGAAACCAAACGCAGAAGCCACATCTGTCACCAATGTCACCAGTCATGCGCCCAGAGTAAGTTGTGGAGTACTCTTTCAAGTAGAAAGATTGCCGTTGATGAATCAGTCCTGCAAACAAAAAGCGGGCTTACTGAATGTCTTACTTTGACGTCAAGGGTGTGATGTTTCTGGCGCCTCCTTGCATCTTGTAAGGCTGAACACTTCTTTAGCATGAGAGGCAGATGGTACAATTGCTGGACCTGCCTCTTTCAGACACCCACCTGGTCTTGAACACGTTAATTAGTGAGCAAATCCGTTGACTGCACAACAGCTTGATCTGCTCACTCCACCACCCCTTTGATCTTTAGTCATCTGATTCTCTCTTGTCTGAATCCTCAAAAGTTCTCTGCGAAGATACAGCAAAGACATTTTGGAGGGCTTCTTATACCTCAAGGGCTTCTTATAGGAGCAATCCTTCCACGCCACCTTCACAACTTTTCACAGGCTTATGTGTGATAACGGAGCCCAACATTGCACCGCAGCTCAGTTTGGAACCGCCAGAGGCTATCGAAGATCCGCCGCTTTCACGACCAGGGCCAGTGCAGACGGGGCTGAAGGAGGGCCGACGTGGGATCCACCTGGTGGCAAAAGGTACCACTCTGTGCCCTTGACAGCTTGAGTGTTGGCAGGACAGATCTCGCCAGTGCCCCCGGGGACTCATGCCTCAGAGACACCTTAATGATGAGCTGGACAAGTTTGGAGAGATCACCACGTTGCCGTCATGGTTCTGGAATGGCTCACCAGGAGGAAGGGTTTTCGGATGTTCCCCAGGGTATGCTTCACAGTTTCGTCTGGCGAGAGTTATTAAAGGGCAACATGATCCAACTTTCTTACTGTCCGAAGCAGTACTGCTCAGTTGGACCATAAGCCACGATTGTAAGCTTGATGCCTTACGTTTCCCTGAGATACACACCAAAAGCTTATCCTAATCAACGTTAAAAGAACGTCGGATGTTAGCCCTTTCTTTGAGTCTGCAGGAAGGTGGTCGAGCATGTGACGCTGTACCAGATGCGGGGGGACCTGACAGAGGAGGCGGAGAAGGAGATGCTGGACCACCTCTGGTCGCTGCAGTACAAGTTTCGGGAAATGCTGGCGACCTCTGTAGGTAAGCCAAGCTTATATGACAAGGAACAACTTTTATTGGCTAGCCCAAAGGTTTGAGCGCACGTTGCTGGGAGCATTTGCTACAGGCACTTGAGACTGGCTGGGTAGGGAGCTTAGGGCAGTGTTAAAAGAGTAATGCTTCGTTTACTTTGAGTTTCTGTGCCATCCAGAGTGCACATTCACGTTCTTACAGACTGCAAAGCTCGAAGCCAGCATCTGCCAACTTCCAAGCAGGAGACCCTATGCCAAGTTCCCAGTGAGAGACCCTGAAGGGCAGATCGACATCCAAGGACAAGTTAGGTGCAGCTTCTCAATCAAGAGGTATACTGAAAACGTCGGAGCTACCTATTGTGCTCGAGACTTGCTTTTCTGTCCTGCCTGTTTGAGAGATTCTGCGGGTTGCTGTGTTGGCCAGAGCCCACCACAGTGTCTCCGCAGACTGGCCTCTTATCCGCCTAAACTTTCTTTTCGGCCCCATGCTTGACGCCGGGGTCTGAGCTGATTGGTTGCTTCTCGTCCTAAATCCAGGCCGTATCTACTCAAAGCGGTCGGGTGGCTTCACCCACGCGCTCTATGCGCGCTTTCCAAATATGGAGTCCGCTGAGAATTATGAGTACAGCCCTGCCAGCCTAGCCGTGTTGCAAAGTTACGTACAGCCCTTGTGCGAGGTAGGTGACGTCATGCCTCATGTCGTCATCACTGATGCTGTTAATTGCTCCCATGTTGGCTCCGTCGCTGTACCTTGTTTGTGTGATATTTGTTGATTGGTGTCGTTGTTTCCTTTCGATAGGTGATTTGACAGGTGATCCAGGACGTGGGTGCAGCTTATGTCCGAAAAAGCGTTTGCGAAGCCTATTCTGGGCATCGTGAGAAGGTTACGAGCTTGTCTGTTCTATCTCACCGCTTTTACATCAGTTGATAAAATAATGGGATTGGGCTGCAACAAAAGATTGGGCGCAGGAAGCTTCATATGGAATTGCGTATTCAGAATCTCTCTTCTGGTCTCCCTAGCTCCGCCATATGTAACCTTCTTCCAGATACTAGGCACGTGCCGCAGCCCGCCACTATGTCCTTTTCTCGAGGCTCATCATCAGTCTCAACCCGTCTAAATCATTACACTCTCCCTAACAGGATTCTTTGTCCGTGAGCTTCGAAGCGAACGTGGAGAACGACGTGGAAGCTATTTTCCGACGAGGCGACGTAAGTTCCTTCATTCTGTCATGTCCGTTCGAGTAAGAACCAAGGGAAAGGCGATCTGTGACCTACCTCCATAGGCGAAGGGGTCCAGAAGAGCACGGAGTAAGTCAAAGGTTCTCGGGCCAGCTTTGCTCGTCAGGGAGAGGGGCCATAGGGAAGTCGGATGTTTTCGACCAGGATTCCGGGGCTATTTCGAGACACCTCTTAAAGCCTTCTCGTTGTTCAACCAAAAGCATCAAACATCTTCCGACGTATGGATCTGAGCGAACCAAAGATTATGGCTGCCCCGTAATCACGGCACGTGGCCCTAACGAGCAAGCCCGACATTAACACACCTGCTCACCTAATGCCAGAAGGGCACCCCTCACTCGACGCCCAGGCGAACACCAACGCATTGTTCAGTCACCAGATCCTCCTCCTTTTGTCACTTCCGAACGTCACAGATCGTTTCCATAGTTGAAAACAAAGAATGCCCAACATGATATATGGGGATCTCTTGAGCGACAAAGAAGTAAATTTGACAGAGTGCAACATACTTATAGATTTCCTAGTGAGTAAATGCTTGATTTGCTGCGCAGCACTGGAACGAGGGCGTGGAGCACGTGGTGCTGCTCAAGGTGAAAGAAGGCACGCCGCAGGAGAGCGTGACGTCACTGCTGACGGACATGGAGGACTTGCAGGCCGCGGCGGCGCCAAACGTCGTGCAGCTGACGATCGGTGAGCTCAGCAGCTGGTGGCGCATGTTGCTCGACGTTGCAACACGTGGACGCGGCCGATCTCGCGACATCCGACGTCTGCAGTCACGCGAGCACCTTGTCCCCTGCGACTAAGTAGAAAACATGTGTTGAAAACATGTGTTGAAAACATGTGTTGAAAACATGTGTTGAAAACATGTGTTGAAAACATGGAACTTCACCATGGCCTTAAGCGGCCAGGAATGTCAAAGTGCAAACACACAATCTTGCGTTTGTGGGTGCCAGAGGTGACTGCGGGTAAACAACGGAGCAGAAATTACGTGTGAGCTTCTTTGTACTGGAAGTACTTCGATTACTCAGCGATCAACTGCCGTTTCGTTCTGTCTTTGTCATGTAACGTCACAGTATCTGCACAGGACCATATTTCAGGGGGTTCGCGGACAAGAGAGGTTTTCAGGGGTTTGAACACCAGAGAGTGTACGCTTTTCCCTCCCGGGTCTGGTAACGTTCACTCTTGACAAGCTGCCAAAAACGACTTGGATATCTGCACGCAGGCTCAAACGTCTCCAGTCGATCCAAAGGGTACACCCACGCTATGGTTGTGCGCTGCCCGTCCGGTGAGCATCCTTTTTGTCCCGTTCCTAGTTCAGACTCTAGCGCCCGATACGGAACCCCCATCTGAAGGGTTTAGTTTCTGAGTTTCCGAATGTGAGTGGCCGGTACGTCGGCGTCTGCTTCTGCGCGTCTCTGTCCGGGTGTCAGTTCCTGAGCGTCCAGTCCTGAGGAGCCCATTTCTGGGGCAACCACTTTGGAACGTACGGATTTGGGGTTTCAATTCTGAGGCTTCCATTCTGACCGTGGATCTCTGAGCTTCCGCTGTTCGACGTGTCTGAGACTGAGCGTTCAACCAGTTTGTGACCATCAAAAACTGTGAGTTCTGACCGTTGAGGATGGGAGTTGAGTGTGAAACTCAATTTGAGCCATTGACTTTGAGCGTGCGAGACTGTCCCTCCACTGCTCAGGTCCAAATGTGAGCGTTTGTAAATGACTTCCAAGATTCGCCAGTATCATTCCCAGGCCTTCCATCTTGAGCATTCAATTTGGTGCGTCCAACAAGTACTGTCTGCATATGAGCGTTCAAGCCTTATCTTTGATATGCGAATTTGCACGTTCTCATAAGAAGCCGAACGGTACCGCTCTCTAACAACCATCGAACTCATCTAGTGCCTTCCCCAAACAGTGCGGCTGCAGAAAAGGTCGAGGCCTATGCTTTTGCATCCAATCTGCAAAAGCTACATCCTTCGTTGCCTCTACTTAAGTATCCCTGTCGTTCAAGGAGAAGACCTTACGACGCTTGATCGTACTGGAGGATATGGCAGAAGCACCTGAGAAACAATTCCGTTTCCTCTTAAGGAGTGCTTGTTCCATGGCTTGCTGACAAGCTGACCTCCCTACCCCTGCAGAGGACGATCTCGCGGCTTATAACAAGCATCCAAAGCATCGAGACGTAAGTTCCGCAGACCTTACACGCTCTGTCTCTAATGGTCCTGCCGACTCATACTCCCAACTTGTCAAGTACCCACCCCCCCTTCCTTTCAGTCTTCGACTACCGGTGCTCCTCAATATGTGCTTTTCTCGATCCCCCTCGTACCGAATTTGCGGGTTTTGCTGCATCTCTACTCCTTCGTAGTGCACATACGGGTTCATTAGAAGTCTACGCGCGTCCGATGATCGGCATTGGAGGGCTACGGTTGTATCACCGTTGTTTCTGTAACAGTGTGCAGCCGCTGTATTCTTCTAGTGCTCGCGAATGCTGAAACCACTCTCTGGGCGCAGATCCTCCGCAAGAAAGTGTTGCCCAACTGCGGTTCACTGTTGGCCGTCGACTATAGCATTGATCCCATTGGAGAGCGCCTCATGTAGATTGCAACGCCAAATTGCAACTGACCGGAAACTGACGGAGATCTAGGCTTGACAGTCTGCTCGAAGTATGGTGTCCTGCAAGGTAATTATGTGACCGCAGCCATTCCGCCGAAGGGCACGCACGGTGATACTGATTCGCGGTGCTTCAGAGATCTTGCGAAGACGGTGCTGATCGAAGCATGCACCGCTGGTTTTCCGACCCTATACAAGGACATTGCAATGAAAGAGGAAGAGATTGGTTGTCCCAAATCGCTTGACATGCATCCGGGTACATGTAGTCTCCACTGGCAGGCTTGCATGCCAGGCATACGCCGCTTGATCTGATTGCTTAGTACACCTTTAGAACGAATCTTTGCCGTATGCGTCGCCCGACGGTACTGAGGTCGAGAGTAGGCTAGCATCCACTCCCACTCATGCACATGTGACAGTGACGTGCATACACGCACCTGAAGTTGGCGACCCTGCGGCGCTGAATAGGGTTTTGGAAATTTCAAAGGATTGGGCCATGTGCCATGGTCACCAAGAATGACAGAGGGAATCGCGTGCACCATACGCGCCATACACGTGCATGTAGGTCATGGCCTAACTCGTCGCGATCCGGCCGGGCCACACGCACTCCCGCAACTTAGCCGCGCAAGAGAGCAGCTAGGCCATGCCTGGCAATCGATACCGTACGACCATATGCATTTTAGAATGTAGATTGCGCTTGCGCGTGAATTCTGACCGCCTGTTCATCAGCAAGCCGCCTGCATTCTATGCGACTTCGTATATCTTGTGGTCGAGCTGCGGCCGTGCCGCACGTGGCCCCAATGACTCATTCTTGTGCTAGCTGGCATGGGCGGCCATGGTACGCCAAAATACCGTCTTATGCACGCTGCCTTCCCGCTCAACATTGACGGTCGAACTCATAACAAGTTACGACACTGAGCGTACTGAGATTCCTCAGCGGGTTGCGAACTCAGCGCGAGCACCATTCCTCCGGGCCAGCCGTGGCTGATCGGATATCAATTAATCAACTTGCCGGACGGCCACTCTTGGTAAGATTCGTGGACCAAGCACCCCAGAATCGTAGCCAACACGGACGCAACTTGAACGAACGAGAATGTCAGGACGTAGTCAAAGCCCGACTGTTTGTAGAAACAGTGATTGATCCGCAAGGCCTGTAAGGATAGTTACCCCGTGCTTGTTGCCTTTGCCGGCTTCTGTTAGCTCCAACGCCGAGAAAACCCCTGTGCATACCCCCACTGCATGCGCGCCTCCATAGCTGGCCGCTTGGATGTCCGCAGGCTGCATCCAAAGAAAAACGTCGGCCAACGTAAGTTGGTCAATCAGTTGGACCAAATCAACGGACGTCAGCAGTTTGATAACTCAACATCTGTCACTACTGTTGCCTGATTTCCACCTCAAATATGCCAGCTGAAGTGCTTAGCCTGGCGGCAGCCGAAACGAGCAACTCGAAGGATCCGACGAGGATCACCATTTCACTTGATGGACGTACGGACCGATGCGTGCTACAACCAAGTCGTCCCTATTTCTGCTCAAAATCAGGCCGGATCCTCTATATTCGCATGCGCTGGACCAGATCCTGCGAGGGAATCAATGCTTTAGGAAAATAGAAGGACCTCACGCACCATAAAACAACCGGTTTGGATCGTGTTTGATATTCTCCCGCTGACGTAAGTGAACGGTAATACCCTTGGGACGACGGAAGTGGCTAAGAGCTATCCTTAGAATTGACAGTGATCTGGCCTCTCAAGCATTGTTCTCCCTCGCTGAGCCATATGCAAGGCTAAGGAAAAGGATCAGTCGTGGTCTGCGACCGGGCTTTCTATAAGAGGCTGTAGATGGGGCGAGTCAGCAGGATGAGTGCTCACAGTGTCTCCAACATGAAAGTGCGACTTGATACCCCCAGGAAAGAGCTCCTCCGCTCGTCTTCGGGCGACCTTCACCAGCTCGCCGCGTTCGATGTGGTCGCTTCCAAACCTGTGGGATCGAGAATTCGATACAATCTCATCATGGATGATACGAGTTTGTAGGACCATCTGTCTCAAGCCCTGTAAGGGACACAGAACAGCCAGACTCGAAGCAAACAAGATACTTGTAGAAGCGATTCCCGAAGAAAATAAGGACGGTCGAAGTGGTCTTGAATGCATTCATCAATCCAGAAGAAGTAAGCAGATGCGCAAGACGAGGTGCGACGAAACCCTTACCCACCAAATTGAGGAGTAGAAAAGAACGGATAGATTCCTAGGGCCATCATCTTCATCCATGCAATCTCTTCCAGGTTCCCAGTCACCTGTTGCAGGCAGATTGATGTAAGAGCTGGCCAGGGAAGAACCATACGGAAGTAAAATACGGAAGTTATCGGTCATCAAGTCGACCACCGTACAGTTGCGGATCCAGAATTTCGTCACTGTCAATTGAATGTATTTCAGGCCTCCCTAGCTCAATATGAACACTATCACAAGTACCCCATGGCGAGTGTCTTCCCTCCAGGTCACACGTGTAAATCAGTGACCTAAAGCAATATGAATCCCCCGCTGCTGGTAAGCGCAGTCAAGGTCCACAAATCTCGTTCTTTCAACAGCTTGAGGGGAAAGCATGTGCGCATGTCATTTGTTTCAATATCACCCTGGTGTGCCACAGGGGATGTCAACTTCATCATTGGAAGGCACCAACGACAGATCTTATCTCACCAGACCGATCAACACGGTTTTCCTGCTGTGCAACTCCTGCAAAAGGGCCGCAACCCCTGGGAGTATCTCCAACCCAAGTGAGACTTCTTCTGGATGCAGTCTGGCGTACTCCAGCATCTTGTCTGTAGCTTCTGGCACCCTTGGTTCACTCTGACTTGGTGGCACACCGTAGTGAGCGAGTGTGTTGATCAGGACCTGCTTGTCTGTGCTGCCATGATGCTGTCCAAGGAGAAGGAAAACGAGTATGGTCAGAAATGTAAACAAGTGTTCATGTTAGGTGGCTTGTTTGGTGGTGTCCAAAGATCGTAGATTGGTCCACTACGATGCAGCTATCAAGAGTGCCGCTGTTGCGCTGGAGTTTAGCTTGGTCGAGAGTATTTGTGGATTTAAAGTAAGGGATGAGTATTGGCTGGGGCAGCTGTTTAACAATGACTCGTCTCCTCCAACGATGTTCATTAGACTTTAGGCCACTGATCTCTCCTTGAAGCGAAGGTCTCTTTAGGCAAAGAAAGGAGATAACTGCACGCCGTTGAGAGATACAATCTCCGAGGCTGAGCACGATGCCTCTCAAACGATCTTTTCCGATAAGTGGAACTGCAATTAGAATTTCACCGCCATCTCGTGCCAATGATGCCATACAGAACGCTGAAATGTTTGAGGTGGGGCAAGACAAGGTCCTGCTTCTAACTTTCAAGAGAATCATCCTCACAAATACTGTACCTGATAGAGAAGTGCAGAGCCAACTTTTTCCAGCCAAACTGCGACCATCAGGAGACCAAGCTGCAGTGGGGATGTAAATCTACCACCGCGGATTCACCACAAAGTCACAGAGCAAGCAGACTAGACCATGACTTTGAGCTTGTTTCAGCTCACTTGGTACAGATCTACCAATACAGACACAGGTAGCAACCAACCTTGATTGCATCAATCGTGCCGTCCACTCCATAGATTTGTTTCATGACGTAGCTGAACGCCCGTTTATGAAAAGCGTTGGCATCTTCTCCAATGGACCTGATCAATGTGCCATCGACGTCAAAGCTGATGAGAACCTGATCCATCCTGCACAGATGCTGCGCACAAGCCCCAATGTGAAATGGTCATATGGTGGGACTTTCTTCCTGAGAGATGCAATCCCCCCTTCTTCAACTTCAAGTTCTTCCTAAAATGCCATTGCAGGCTCAAATTTGTGCATTTAAATTTAGTTATTAGTAGTACAAGGGCAGGTGCGTTTGCGCGTTTAGGGTTCGCACAATGCAACTTGCAAGGATTGGCTACCTACAACTTCAACAAAGTTTTAGGGTTTGGCTAAGTACATGGTATTATTTACAATCCGACCGTTTTACCGGTACGGAGAGGGTTTGTGTCGATGGTTCTCATCCTATGCTCCTACATCCCCAAGAAGAGCATAGGACTACCGCAAGCAGCTAGAGGCGTATACGCCGGATTTTATGACTGAAGGCAGCTTATACTACGTTCTGAAATGTTCAAACTCGTTTTAGGCGACGCCGAGTACATAGCGCTGAGTGATCCTGCAGAATGATGATCGAGCAGATTAGGGTTTGCCTGAAGACGAAGCTTGTGTTTACCGTCAGTCAGAAACACGTGATCAGCACGTGGGCACTCTTAGGATACGGGAACCGTCAGATAAGCCTGCTGCCCTGTCAGCAAGCCCGCTGCCCATACTGGCGCAGCATGAGACGACATGTATGCTCAGCTTTCCTTACAAATTTTCTTTGCTTCGAGCTGATTGCGCCAAGCTAGCTTTCTTCCATTTCGCCTGCCTGTGCGCCAATTCTGAAGAGACAACAAACAATGGCTTCCTCTGAGCCTGTGCGTGTTATGGTGACCGGCGCTGCTGGTAAGTTTGTCTGGTTCTAGGTGTTGTGGATTGATTTGAATTGAGTTCCTTGCAAGCCAATCTCTCAGCTCCCTGTCCGCACGATAATCAAAAGTGGGAACCTTTGCTTTATCATCATCTAAGCATAGAGTCTCCCTCATTGAATTTCAAAAACCTTCTAAACCAATGGCCCTTTTTTGCAGGTCAAATCGGTTATGCTTTGGTGCCAATGATTGCTCGTGGAATTCTGCTTGGCGCTGATCAACCAGTGATCCTGCACATGCTTGATATTGAGCCTGCTGCTGAAGCACTGAATGGAGTCCGGATGGAGTTGGTCGACTCTGCATTCCCCCTGCTCAAAGGTAAGAAGCGCTGGCACCATATAGTCATCTTCTCAAAGGGTTTCTTCATCAAATTGAGGATCAAATTCCAGGGCTTATCTCAGGAAGGTTACAATGAACACGTCACTTAGAACTCATGTGGATCTACTGCTTAATCAGGTCTTCATAATGTTGAATGAGTACCTCACCAATCATGGTGTCCTGTCAGCAAACCACTAGCAAATGTGTTCAGGACGTGTGCTTTTCAAATCTGAGGATAACAAGTCTGGCAGCATGGTAGACTGCTTCACTAAGTTGCTTCAAGTCTAGTTGGGGGTGTGCTCCAAAAAGTTGTCTGCAATCAATCGGTTTTCGAAAGTTTTGAACCCATTCATTGCAGGTGTTGTTGCCACCACCAATGTGGAGGAGGCCTGCAAGGGTGTCCAAGTGGCTATCATGGTCGGTGGCTTTCCCCGAAAGGAAGGCATGGAGCGGAAGGATGTGATGACGAAGAACGTGTCTATCTACAAGGCTCAGGCGTCTGCATTGGAGAAGTTTGCTGACAAGGATTGCAAGGTGGGTTGCGTGCACGGAGCAAAGTGCTGCAGACTGTAAAAGGCTGTGTATTGATGGTCAAATGGAAAGTGCTTCTCTGCTTGTGCTGCCCACCATGGAGGCGGTAGTCTCACCTTGCAATTGGTGTGACCATTTTCAATGACTCTACTTCAAGAGAGTCAAAACTGATATAGCAGTTGAAGTACACTGTTCCGTTCAGATTTTGAGGGTGACATCTAGCTTATTCTGCCATTGTGAGGGTGAAAGCCTTGAACCTCTAAATACAGCTGACAATGGTGGCTGGTGGGGGCATCCGAGTTGGAGAGCTATACTTGGGTGGAATTAGCTGAATTTGCGTCTGAACAGAGAGTTCTTGACACCTGTTCCCAGTGGTTGGTGATTGCGTGGTTGTTCCTTCATGTCAAAGATGGCAGCCAATCAGGCCCATGCACAGTTCGTTCAGCAAGTTAAGACGTGCCTGTCAGGTGCCTTGATGTTGTATTCAATCTTTGAAAGTGTGGCCTGTAAATCAAAGTTTTCAGAGGTGAAGGCTTTGTTAGGCTGTCCATCAGAATCTGTGGAAGGGACATCCCTTCTGTTTGATTGGAGAGGGATGACTCTACGGTTTGAGGATGGTTTCACCACAATAAGAAATTTGTTGATCAACTTCCCAACTTCTGCAGGTCGTGGTTGTTGCAAATCCTGCCAACACAAATGCGCTCATCCTGAAGGAGTTTGCTCCCAAGTTCCCCGCCAAGAACATCACCTGCCTCACCCGCTTGGACCACAACAGAGCCTTGGGTCAGATTGCTGAGCGCACCGGGGCCGCCGTGTCTGACGTCAAGAATGCCATCATCTGGGGCAATCACTCTTCCTCCCAGTACCCAGATGTGAACCACGCAGTCGTCAACGTTGATGGCAAGGAGGTGCCGGTCAGGGAGCTAGTCAAGGATGATGCTTGGTATGTTACGTGCCTGTTTCTCCATTCAAGTCAAAGAAGTAGTCCAAGAGGCTGTTTCGGGTCGCCTTTTCAGAACTCGTCTTTCTCACAGGTCTTCATTAGTGCTGTTTGAGGCATCGAAGCGTACATAAAGCGGGATGGAAGGGTTATTCAAAGAAGATGTATCTCTACTCTATGCTTCTTACTATCCATCAGCTTGTTGCAATGGCAGTGCAGAGAGGAATGTATCAATAAATCTTCTTCGTACTGTTGGGGGAAGTCGGTCGATTTGTTATTCTAGAGCGGCATGTGACCAGCTTTCTATGCACAGGTTGGACGGCGAGTTTGTGAAGACGGTCCAGCAGCGGGGCGCTGCTATCATCAAGGCCCGCAAGTTCTCGAGCGCACTGTCAGCTGCCAGCTCAGTCTGCGACCATGTCCGCAACTGGGTCAAGGGGACACCTGAGGTGAGGTCTCATCAACGCTCTTGCTGCGATGGTTGCTGCTTGACTAGCAGGTAGCGTACAGTGCATTGCAACTGTTGTTGGGACGGGACGACAATCAGGATTTTGCAGATTGCTTCACGCAAAAACTCCGTGCTTATCTGACGTCTGACGGCGCGAGAGCTCGAAGAATTGCCGACTGGATCTTACAGTGTCAATTGTCTTCGGTCCTGCCAGCTGAAACCGTGCTGTTCGGAATTGCCGTTTGAAGAGCTATTGCGCCCGTCGTTTGTATGGTAAATTACGAGGAAGCCTTTTGCAGAATGAGCCTTCAAAAGAATGAAGGCTGCAGGTCAGGGCAGGTAATCGTAAGGTCTCCTCCGCAGCATACACTGCCGCACGTGTGTCTCCTTTCATGAGCTGTCATGAATCGCATTGAGATCATCGGTCTATCTCTGGTTATATCACCCAGGGAACGTGGGTGTCTATGGGAGTCTTGTCCGACGGCTCATACGGCGCTCCCAAGGACGTCATCTACTCCTTCCCGGTCACCTGCAAGAGCGGCGAGTGGACGATTGTGCAAGGTCAGTCCTTTCCCCCATTAGTGTAACAGGCACCTACTCTCGCCACGAGAAAAGCTCCGCTATGTATGCTTGCATGAAGTTCTTGAACAAGTGCTGCAATGTTCACAACTATTTTTTGCCGGGTCGTACGACTGACTTCAACATCTTTCAATCCTGTGCCAGGTCTAAAGATTGACGACGCCTCTCAGAAGTTGCTAGACATCACTGGCCAAGAGCTCGTCGACGAAAAGAAGCTTGCTTACGAGTGTTTGAAAGAGTAGGCCAAAACTGACAGCCTTGCAATATGTTTTGTTTTTACGAGTTTCCTTCTGATAGTGCGACCATCACAGATTGGTCTCCGAAGAGAAAAGCTTGGGACCCTGCTTTGCTCATCAGGGCAAGACCATGCACGTTGCTTGTCTGACTGAGGATCTTGAAGCCGTTCACAACTTTTCAGGTAGTGGAAGCGTCTCACCTTCTTGTCTTTGACCACGTTGAGAGTCTTCGCTTTCGTCTCTCACTTGGGATCCGGCAGAAACTCTCCACTTTTACGCCTCAGTTCGGGACGGTTTGCCAAGTACTGGAAGCTGTATTGCGATGCTAAATGTTTTTATGTGCACGGTTCGTACAATGATCTGGCGACAAACTGTGCAACTTACCGAACAACGAGTGACCCGGAACATGTTCAGCTCCGGCCGGATATACCGTTAGCCGCATCTTGCAAGCTAGATTGCTGCCAAGTAGTGTTGAGCGCGCGAGCCAGAAATCAGTGCAATTTGAAGTCGAGATAAATTAAGTATACATGTGTCCAGAACTTAATATTCGATCCATAATCAGCGCCGCGAGCCGCCATGCCTATAGCCAGGCTGTTGGTTTGGTGCCAGATCATATGCATGCATGCCATCATAACCCGACATACGTCCAACCAGGGGTCGCCACAGGTTTTCGAAAATGTCGGCTCAAAGCCGACTCCCTTGTAAATTCTCGGCTTCTCGCCTATATTTTGGGGTACTTGTCGGCTTCTCGCTTTGGCCCCTGCCTCCGGTGTCGGCTTCGAGCCGGGTACTTCTTAATTTTGTCGGCTTTTCGGAAATTTCAATGTCCCGGGGATCACGGTTAGTCGGCTTGTGCCGACCCCTGCGTCCAACGCAGGTTCAAACCAGACAACCATCTTACTCAGCTCAAGCTCGAGCTTTCAGTAGACTGGTCTACTGAAAGCATGATTCAAGATTGATATTCAGGACGTGGCCATGCTGGCATGTTGTATGTTGATCACCATGCACCACCGGCTGGTAGACTCGAGGCAGGCTGGTCGCAACCTTGACGTACACATGTACCGACGATCCCCCGCGGCCTGCTGATCATTGCCAGAGACTCAAAAAATATCAAGGTTGCTACAACTCGTTCCACTGTTTAAGTGATAGGTACTGGATGGATCCTGACTCAGCATGAGGGCAGCTAGGACTGCTACGGTACTTCAATGGTCTCTGCAATATGACCACCACCAGCAAACCGTCCTGGCCGGACGAGCGAACCACTTTTGATTCCGATTGGACGATCGAGCTGTCCGCCTAGTCACTACCCAAGAGGCTAGCCCATGCCCTTGCCGACCATACCTTAATCAAAATTGTTTGACTGCAATGGTTTCCGGCCTTGCAACCTTCTAGTCAGCTACATGAAGGTTCACAGAGGACACAAAGAATCAAAATACTCATACGCACCCTACTCCTGGTTCATAAGCAAAGGGGTCATCTCAAAATCTTGGCTCATGCGTTCTTCGGCTGCACTGCCTTTCGGGGCCCTGTAAGCCAAGCGTACTTGTGTCAATGTCGGTCGCCGGAGTGCAAAGGAGCAGACTCGAAATGCTATCAACCACATGCTGGTAATCTGCTTCATCGAAATTGCAAACAAATGCAAAATACATCTAGTACTTCCTTCCTGAATCCTTATCAACAATAAGCGAAAGACGTTTGTGATTGCCTGCAACTGTTCCATGTGTTCCAAAGACAAGAGAGATACAAGTCTGCTCTTTCAAAAGAGTGGCCGAATGTTATCCAAAGAAGGCGCTAAGCTGCTACAGGGCTTGCAATGTTGATGGCCGCTTGTTGCCCTTGATGCTTCTGGACATCCACGGACTAAAACTGTCAGTATAATATTCATTACAATTGCAATTGGCTCACAATCAGTACAGGGCTTGGAGGCATGTGCACAGCCAAACTCTCCCATGAAAATGCAAGCGTTCAATACCTACATTGGTTGGAGTCGCTGGCAGCTTTTCACGAGTCACTGGTTCTGACTTTGAACCACTATGGGAGCATGCGGCCCAGAACATGATCATACTTTTGCAGAAGGCAAACATACGGCATCTGAATGGATTGGACATTTTACTAGCAAGCTCCTACCCGACTGCCAGCCGCAGACTGATTCCCCAACAGGTGTCCTCGGAGGAAGACGGACTTTAGGATCTTTTTCAGTCTTTGAAGGGTGCTCTACACTTCACAAATGTTTGGAAAAGCACACGGGGGAATGTGGTAGATTAACAAGACGTCCCCAGCTCACCTGGTAGCCACCCTGACAACCACCCTCCGAGCGTCCAGCCGCTTTGTGGACTCTGACTAGACGCGCGCAACTCTGTTTCTAACTTCCGCAGCTGCTCTTCAAACCCTGCATTCGGGCAGACTTGCGGCCGCACCTGCTTGACCAGTGTTCTCGCTTCTTCGAGCGAGAGGCCCCTCTCCTTCATCAGGTACGCCAGACAGACACAGGGGCTCCTCGATATTCCTGCCGCGCAGTGCACGTAGACCTTGCCGTTGCCGGCTACCCCTTGTGAAATAAACGCAAAAGCTTTTCCGAACGCTGCTCCGAGCTTCTCCGACTCCTTTTCCTCGTCCCCGATGTCTAAAGACATGTACGAGTATGATTTAAAATGTGTGGGCCGCGTTCGAGTGCTCTTCATGATACGCAAGATGTGCGTGATGCCCAGTTCTTGCATGAGGTAAGGGCATGCCGCCGTTTCATACCCACCGAGACACAACCCCCCGCCAAGGTCCGCAAAGTCGTGCATACGCAAAGGGCGCTTGCAAAGGTGACAAGTGGCGCGGACGTGGTTCTCTTGCCAGATGTCCGCGCCTTTCTCTCCAAGCTCAATTGCGGCGGCATTGCGTGTTTTTTCTCCATCGTATCCAAATGTGCAGGCGCGCAAACGTTTCCACATTGTGTCTACACGATGCAACCCGATGGGTCTCGTTCATGGTTTGCAAAGGCTCAATCTCAGGAAGTGAGAGAGCATAGACCTATACGCCTCTCTCCACCGCATTTCGGTGCGCCTCTGTCCTGCATTTTAGCCACAACTTCAAGTAGGTACGGTGAAGTGTACTTTGTAGTTCCTGACACAGCTAGTAGTGACTGTTTCCAACTTTCTTGGTACCAATCCAAGGGGATCACCCTGCACGTACGGAATTCCAGGGGGTTTAATTTTAAAAACCCTAATAATTTTGCAGAGATTTCAGGCTTAGCTTTTTCTGTCAGCGCACAGGCCAACTCAGACTGCTGATGTTTTCAAAGTTTCAGAAGTCACTCCTTGCTGAATGCAATGCGATGGCGAGGGTCAATCGAAGCATGGCTGTGCTGCTGGCTTCTCTCCTGCTGAGTGCCACTGTGCTTACGAACGGCGCAGATGAGGACGGAGTGAGTGCCCTTCTGAAGCTCGTTGTTCTCAACGGTTTGGAGTAAAAATGTTGTTAAGTCTCTGTCTTTGAATGCTCCACGATGCCAATCAGATTGTTTGAGGGACACATTCCGGTTTTACGGAAAGTCTGCCTCTTTGGATGGTAAGCTTGAATTGAGAACACCACATGGATTGGAAAGACACAGTTCTTAGCAACATTGGAGTTTCTCTGTTAGGGGACTACCATCTGAGTATCATTGCAGCTGCCAGCTGCCCTTGTAAGGGTGGGCATATGCAAATCCTCCCCACATCCATCCCCCAACAAGTTGTAGGATCTCTCGCAATCAATGCCAACTTACACCAGATGTAGCGACGTTAGCACAGCAGTCTATGATTTGCATTGGAAAGTTGGTCTGTCAAGACATACAAGGTGCTTTTAAGTCGTTGATTTCAAGATAAAAGCCCCACCTAGATTCCTCCTCACCAAGTGGGTCTCTGTCTCCCTCTCCAGCACTGCACGTTTACGGAGGGCCAGGGGAAGGAACTTCACCTTTCTTCTGAGCCAAAATACGGGGGCATTCTCATTCAAGGGGGAATCGTGGTCAATGCTGACATGCAGCGACAGGCAGATGTATACATAAACGGGGGACTTATCCAGGCTGTGGGCCCTGATCTGAAGGTTAGATACTGCATTTGTTGAAAAAGCTGTGGCTCTGGCAAGGATGGAGGAAATTGAGTTACCTGCTTCCTCATGTCAACTTGTTGCCCATCTGGATTGATTCCTTTCAGCATAACATTGCTCAGGAACAGATGGAAGCGGAGCAGGACGAACGAGAGAGACTCTATTGGATATTGACCTGAGCTTTGTGGGAGCAACAGGAAACAAACAGGCCAGTATCAGAATTGTGACATTCTGTGTTTAAGTTTCCCGCTGGTTCCGTTTTGTGTAAGATCTACTTCCTTTGCATCACATTGACAAGGACCCAATGCTCATGCACCGGATGTCACAACCATTTTATTACTACAGGCAATAATCGGAATCCACAGTTACTTTGTATGAGTGTGATCACTTCTGACCAGTTACAAAGTTCAAGACAAACCCCAAATCCTTGGATACCCTGCTTGCTCTGAAGACTCCACCTGCGTGACTATGGTACTCAAACAAGCCTTAAAAGGTTTGACTGGTGTCTGATGCAGGTCCCCGAAGGCGCCCGAGTCATTGATGCCTCTGGAAACTTTGTGATGCCAGGTAAGGCCTCAATATATCAACACCTTCTAGAATGTGAGTGAGTCAAAGGCCAGATGGTAGCACAACCGTGAGGAATTATCAATGTTTGCAGGCTGATCCTAGAAAGCTAGAAACGCACATATCCTGTCATTTGGACCCAAAAGCTCACGCCTGGCTTTTTGCAATCTAAGCTATGGTACAATATTGGGTGGTTCATCATTTGGCGCACCAGACTGTGCCATCCAGTTCCCTGGCTCCCTCTTTTTGGTCAAGTTGCTCCAATCATGGCTCAGCTTCAACCACTAATGACAACTGTAGTTCCGTCCGTTTTCATGCTCAAGAAAGCTTTAGCGCCAGGCTTTGCAGATGCGGTTTTCAGAATTCCTGCCGTAATAGACGCGGTCTGGTAAGTCTTACCCACTTTGTGTTGACTCGCCAGTGTCGCGACTCGTTTTGTCCAGGTGGCATCGACCCGCACACGCATCTGGAGATGCCGTTCATGGGGCAGGAAGCATGCGACGATTTCTATAGCGGACAGGTATGCTCTTCGAAACTACTCCGAAACCAAGCTTAGGGTTGCTATTGCAGCTACATCAGTTGACGTAGTTGACACGTGGCTGATGTCATACATTCTCTCTCATGTTGGAGAAAGAGCTGTTGTCAGACTCAAGCAACTCAATGATGACGCCCCAGCAGTAAGGGTGCCTTCAGGGCGGCTCTGGTTCTCCAGTCCTTTTTCAAAAACGAGATTGGAGTTCTTCGAAGTCCGATTGCTCGTTTGATCTGCACACATTAGAATTGGACTCTATTTGCAGCGTGTCCAGTGCTTAAGATACTACTCCCTATTGGTCCTTCACGAGCTTTGCGCTTAACAGTTGACGGCACCCCTTTTGTTCAACAATATCCCTCCAACTTTCTCCGTGAGCGGCTCAACCGCACATGAAGCCACACAACTCAATCCGGGCATTCAGGTTGGCCGACATGTTCTGAAGGACTGTTCTGAAAAGTACATCTATTTGTTTTCTGCATTTAAGCAACGCCCTTCGAACACTTACGTACTAAGAATCGGTTGCCGTTTTTCAGGCAGCCGCGCTGGCTGGAGGAACGACCATGCACATCGACTTTGCGCTGCCGTCAAACGGCGACTTAGCCCAGGGTTTCTTGGACTACGAAAAGAAGGCTGCCAAGTCTGTGATGGACTACGGGTTCCATATGGCGGTCACGACCTGGAACGACAAGGTCGCACAAGACATGGAGGATCTGGTGAAAAAAGGTGGGTAAAAGCGGTTAAGCAAAAGCGGGTTTGATGTCGTATTTGGCCCTAGGGAATGCGTCCGAAAGGTGGGTATGCTCGTCAGAGTGGAACCGGGTTAGTTGTCTTGTTCGGACCTAAGGTGGGTTCGAAAGGTGGGTGAGTTCGGCTGATCGAAAGTAGCTCTGGGGTCGTGTTTGGCATGCGAGTAGGTTCAAGTGGCTGATAAAGTCGCTCTGCTGCAGAGTTTTGAGACCCGCTGAGATTCTCCGTGCAGCGTTTGTGACTCGCCGTTTGCGATGGCCTAGCAAAGCTTCCAAGCCTGGGATGGAAAGGGATCAAATTCGGAACGGGGCCTTGATAAGCAAGGAGCCCTGCTTTTTGGTTTTGGTAAATATACTGCTGTCGCGAACGAACCCTTCTTAACCCGCCTTTGCACGTATGAACTCGTTCAAGATCTTTCTTGCACATAAAGCCGCACACGTGACAAGCGACGAGCATATGCTGCAGAGCTTTCTTAACCCCTTTCTTAACTCATCCCTCCTCAACCGTCCTCCACCACCCCCAACCCAAATTGGCGGGCATCATCTCGATCGAGTCCTTCTGCGCAGACAAGGGCGCGGTGAATGTAAGCAACGCATGGCTGTCGTAGGGGTTTCTCACCCCCAGCCGTCTAATTACCCCTACTTTACCCCTCCGTGACCCATACCTGCAGGCATCAACTCCTTCAAGTTCTTCTGGCATACAAGGGCGCTCTCATGCTGACCGACGAGCATCTGCTGCAGGGCTCCCTTAACTCCTTCCTTCAACCCAAACATCCCTCTCAACCTCGCTAATTTCCCCCTCAACCTAATATTGCAGGCATCAATTCCTTCAAGTTCTTCCTCGCATACAAGGGCGCACTCATGGTCACCGACGAGCAGCTGCTACAAGGCTTCCTTAAGCCCTTCCTTAACCCAAACATCCCTCCTCAACCTTGCTAAACCCCCCCTTAACCCAAATTTGCAGGCATTAATTCGTTCAAATTCTTCCTGGCGTACAAGGGCGCGCTCATGGTCACCGACGAGCAGCTATTGCAAGGCTTCCTGCGCTGCAAGCAACTAGGCGCGCTGCCGCAGATACACGGCGAGAACGGCGACGCGGTCGCGCTGTGGCAGCAGAAGATATTTGACGACGGGATCACGGGGCCCGAGGGGCACGCGCTCTCCCGGCCATCATTTGTGAGCCGACCCCGCCTTTCCTCTTCTAATAAGAGAAGGAATCTTTTCAGGTTTTTCACAAACTGAGGAGTCTACTTTTAGAACTTGTGATGCCCGATGCAATCGAGGGGGACGAGGTGCCTCCGGCCAATCTTTCGTGAGCCGACCCCCCCTTCTCTCTGCAGCGCGGAAATTTCAACTGAGCCCCCCTTCTATATCTTACAGCACGGAAAGTCTACTTGAGCAGACCCCCCCTTTCTTGCTTTTCCAGCGCGGGAGGTCTACTCAAGCCGTTGTTCCTTTTCGTGTTTTTCCAGCAGTCGTCGCCTGCGTTTCTTGGTGTCGCTTGTTACCAGCCGACCGACTTTTCGTTTCCAGCTCTGATAAGCTCGGGTAGTCGTTTTCAGTGGGTGCTCTATGAGTGGCTCTGTGAGCAAAGACGCCTGCCCGCTTCTTTAAGGCTCACTCACTACACTCAGTGAGTCGATAGTCACCAGCGAAAGAATGAGCCAGCGGCCGACGTCCACTCCAACGAAAGAGCAAAGAGTGCGTTTTATAGGCCATGTCTCCAGAAACGCGCCTCGAACGTTACCTTAATAGCTGTCGTAAGCCTTATTTGGCAAACTGCATATCAATCCGCTCTTCTGTTAGACATTCGAGCCGTCTAAAGTACATTCCTCGAGTGCTTCACAGGGCCATGCTTCCCCGAAAGCCGTGACGTCTTAGCGCTAGAGACCTTTCCGGAAGACCCTCAAACGAAAACCTTTTGTCGTCTGACAGCTGGAGGGCGAAGCAACGGGGCGCGCCATCCGGCTAGCCCACCTGGTGAACGTACCGCTCTACGTGGTCCACGTTATGAGCAAAGACGCGCTCGACGAGGTGGCGCGCGCGCGCCAGGCTGGTGAGTTCCTCGAGGCTTTTTGCCCAGTGCAAGTCACCGGGCCTTCTTTTGCACATGAAATCGGGGGGGCTGCCGCCCCCCCGAGCCCCCCGCTCCTTCCTCTTTGCGGTCTTTGCGTGGTTGCGCGAATGTAGACTGAAACTTAGTAAAAGTTTTGAAGTGGAGACCCGCAAAATCAGTCTCTTCAACCTCGCCGTCGATTTCGAAGCCGTATGCAGGCTCTGAATATTTTCTCGTTCTGGTTTCCCCAAGTGCTTGCTCTGCTGTGTTCCATGCTATCGAAGCGGACAGCGGGCATTTCTGCAGCCCACCCTGAGCCCACCTCACTAGGGCAAGCGTGCCCAATCCTCCAGACTGAGCAGAAGTCACATACCCGGCCACGTTCCAGCTGAGACGACATGCTTCGCAATCCCTCTCCAGAATGTCCTCTACTTACGGATTTTATCTTCAGTGGCTGCTGTCCTCATCCGCAGGTCAGCACGTCATTGGCGAGGCGGTGGCGTCGGGCCTGGCGCTGGACGAGTCTCGCATGTGGGATCCAGTCTTCGACGTTGCCGCGAAGTGAGCCCTAAAACCTTTTAGCTCTGAAAACAGTCTGGTCCAATCTAATGTGGTAGATTGGCTGTTTCGTTGCACCGTGCGGCTCACGATGTCGCTTTCCAAGAAATCAGAGTCCGGTTCTCCGCAAAAACATTCTGGCGGTAGTCTCGTAAGCTGAACAATCCGAGGCCTGAGTGGAATCTTCCAACTCATTTGCTTTTGCTTTCGATGCGGTGAAAGTTTAGACCCATCTCGCACCACTGCAACTCCGAAAACCCTGCAAAGCGAACCACTTGATTCACTCCCGCAACGTCATAACCGTCTCTTGAATGTCAGCAGGACCCCCAGCTTACATCAGCTTTTCTGCCCTAGGTACGTCATGAGCCCCCCAATCCGGAGCAAGGACCACGGGGACGCCCTTCAGGCCGCGCTGGCGGGGGGAGTGCTCCAGATCGTGGCGACGGATCATGCCGTGTTCAACTCGACGCAGAAGGCCGCGGGAAGGAACGATTTCCGCGTCATTCCGAACGGTGTCAACGGTAGGCGCCTTGTTGAGTCGGTCTTTGGTTGACACTATGTTTTTAGATTGTCAATTGCGCTTGTGGCGTCGATCACGGCGTGTTCAACCCGACGCAAAAGGCCGCCGGCCGGGGCGACTTCCGGATCACTTCAAACGGGGTCAACGGTACGTACCGGTCTGCCTTTGCGCGCTCTCCGCTGTCCGTCCGCAGCTGCTTGGCGCGGTCGAAGAGTTGGGTTTTGGGGGCCTTTCTTGTCTGTTTCCGTTTCCTCTCTCTTCTCTCCTTGTCTTTTCTTTGTCTTTCCCTTTTTCTTCTTTTTCGTCCCTATCCTCTTCTTCTTCTCTTTTTTGTCCCTTTCTTAGTAAAGTAAACCGTTCGAAGTCGCAGCCCACGCTTTGTGGTCCTTGGGACTTCAGATTGCTCTGTCAAACGGCGCCTTTTACCTAGTGCAGCGCAGCCCAACGATCTAGTTTCTATCCTTGCGCAAGTGTGCCAAGTTAGCCGGCAACGTTGGAGACGACTTCTAGCGCAGGCTCAAATCAAGCATACCGTCTGCATACGTTTGAGACGCCTCGAGCTGCTAAGCTGCAGACAGACCCCAGTGCGAAAGAAACCGGTACCACACTATCGTTGACGTCAGAGGAACTGCAACTACCCTTTTCACAAGAGACTAAACCAAAAGTCGAATCAAGAAAAAAGGCACGGACGATCTGATTTATTCAGAATATCTCAGGAAACAATGGGTCAAGGAGTGCCAGAGCTTTGCCCGCCTACTCGAAGCAGCTGGCAGGGCCGTCGTGCAATCTCGGATCTAGAGTGTCGGTTCATGTTCGACCTATCAATTTCGATGCAAGAGCACTGGTTCACTTCTGACCTCTTGGTTTCTTGACCGTAGGGATTGAGGAGCGCCTTCACGTGGTGTGGCACACCATGGTGGTGAGTGCGCCTCCATGGTGTCAAGCTCTCTCTCACTACCCGTGCTCGAGCAACTTGACACTACGCGCACAATCGCAACTCAATCGGATTAAATGGGAAAACGTAACCTTGATCCTGCGATTTGCATCTGCCTCGAAACGGACGATCTCCGGGGATAACGGGTTCGGCTGATATTTGCCACGTGGGTTTTGGGACGCCCGTCTCAGTGACACGTGGCAAGTTCCAAGGCGGTTTTGCTTGCGTTGCACTGTTGCTTGGCGAAGCACGCTTGATACGCGGTGACGTTTCTCGAGCACGGGTCGGACGAATGCTGACGTCAGCGCCTCGTCATGTTCCCCGCAGAACACCGGGAAGATGAGCCCCTCGGAGTTTGTGCGCGCCACGAGCACCGCGAGGTGAGGATAAAATCTGGCGACATGCTTTTCTCCCCTCCTCTAGTTCCGGGGGTGACTTTTTGTCCTTTGTCTGGTTCTAGAGAATCAGGTTTCTGAAGCCTTTGAGTCCGTCGGTTTTAGACTTGCCCGCCGTTAGCCTGGGACGGTGACTCCTTGCTCCTTTTGTTTCCAAAACAGAGCTGCGCACCGTCGCTTCGACGAATACAACTTTTCCGCATGTACGCAGTGTCGACGGCATCCTTGTTCTTGTTCTCCTGGTGATCCCTTCAGCGGAGTTTAATTCTCCGTCGAAATTGAAGAGAAGAGATTGCAGCTCCTCGGAACTCAGTGACAGGTAGCGTTTCTCGATTTCAATCGGCCAACAGCAAAACAAGGACCGGAAATCTGAAAAGATTTCGCAAAAGCGAAGCGATGCAAACACCGGCAGCGTTTGTCTCACCCCTCGTGCAGCGCGCATGCATTCAACCTGTACCCTAGGAAAGGCGTCTTGGCGCCCGGCTCCGACGCTGACGTCATCGTCCTGGATCCCCGGGCGGAGCATGTGATCAGCGCGCGCACGCACCACTCGCGGATGGACACGAACGTATACGAGGGCTGGAAGATACAGGTGAGACAAGGCGCGTATTCCCTAGTGGCTAGGCAGCTTAGTGACGTGTCCATAAGGGTTCTGAAACGTTATCGAGGGAGGTTTGGAGGGGATTGAGTGGCGCTCTTGAGGGCGAACGACGCCACCTCTTGGATGAGATCGTTGCGGAACTTTGATTCACTGCTGGGTGACTCTTTACGGTGTTAACGAGCACACCAAGGAGATTTGGAGAAGGCGAGTTCCGGGTCTGAGGGGCGATTTCCAACTGTTATCGGAGGTATTGAGAGCACCCCGAATTCTACCACCGCTTAAGGATAGGCGGGAGTGTGGTCCGCTTATGCTCGTGTTATTTGGCTTTTCAGAAGTCACATGAAGGCCCACAGACCGGTGCTGACTCACCGCCTTTAGACAGCTTCATTCAATCCTTCCATGGTCTTCCAAGTTTCATAACGAGATGGTAAATACAATTACTTCAGTGATGTCCCCATGTCCGTGCCAGCGGAACTGTGGAAGTCCTCGGCTTGCTTGGCTTTCTTATGCTCAGGCTTGGATCAGGACCAGAACGTCTGCAGAGGATTGCCGTGTTCAACTCCTCCTGTCCTGAATCAATCTCTTTGAACCTCAGTGCATTGCACACATCATACTCAATCGTTCAGTTCGGCCAAACCGTGGGCCGATGATTGCCTTGGTCCTTTTTTGGCAGGGGAAAGTTGAGGTGACCATCAGCCAAGGCAGGGTCGTCTGGGAAAACGACACGTTGCACATCCAACGGGGCTCCGGACGCTTCGTCCGGATGGAGCCATTCAGTCCGAGCCTGTACGAGGGTATCCACAAACGCGACCTGCTTCGACAAGCCGAGGCAAAGGCGCACGTAGTCTGACACGCATGCTTGGTGCAGCGGCAGACTACGAGTTTCACAGTGTCCCTCGAGGAATGGGGTCATAAGATCTGCTCAAATGACGTTACGAGAGCAATGTACTGGCGACAGTAAAGATATAACAAACTAACATATGTTGATTCGATCCGCTGCGTCTTATGCGCAGGAGCATGCAATCAACTTAACGAGCGCACGTACGGACAGACGGTTGCAGCGGCTCCGGCTCTGAAATATGTGATCGGATCATTGTGGAGGGAAGTAATTAGTCTTACATGAAGTCTGTAGCTCACTCAAGTCACCAGCGCATACTTATGAATAACTTAACGTGCTTGATAATTTTCAGGCCCTTAGACACTAAGAAGTCTAAGCAGTGGCAGTGATCGACTCAAGTGATGTCAGACATCCATGCCATGCCATGAAGCAATATATATAAACCGATATTCATGCTGTGTGCGCGGCCGATCCCGGCTTGTTGGTACCGTACGCATGTTGAAAACTTGAAAGCCTGGTGACTCGGGTAAACAGTAAGTATATACTATAGGCCGTCCAACCGTATTGGTGTTTCATACAGTGTACAACGATAACTTGATCATGAGGTTGCACAGAATCGTCCCTTGCTATCACCGTTCAAACGTCATATATTCAAGAGCTACCACATGTACGTACGCGCTTTTGTTTGAATATTGTGAGCGCATAAGTTCACCATGTGCGCAGAGCTACAAATGCTATGCCACATATATACCTGCACATGCATCATGAATATATATAATTTGTATATGCAATAATAAACAATTAGTACGGTATACTGACTAATCATTTTTTTATTGAATGATCATACATACATACCGGTAGATTCATGTTTCAAGACGCGGTACACATCCGACCACGATCGATCAATAAGCTTGAATATTGAGTTCCGACGGTAATGCACATGATACCGAGTATACAAGTGCTCCTAGGCTAGCTATCTTGTACGCTTGCATAACTGGTTAGATTGTTCATGTGCATCGCGGGTTACCGTAAAAACTTCTTGGCCCGCTTCGGGCCGGCTGGGCTCTACCTTAAGGTGCATCACTTTCTGCAGGTATGGTTGTCGGAAGAAGGGCGCCTTCGTCGCCACTTTTCGAAGCTGGCCCAGCTTCGCACAGGTTCGCCGTAAACGCCTGGGGTGGCAACTCGAGAAGATTACCGCATACACCTGCGACCAAGGGGTTGGCGAACCTGGTATACTGGTAGGTTTTACAGTAGTATCTTATTGAAAATTTTGCAACTTACTAGTAGCTTATACTGCAGGATCTTATTGGCAGCTCTGAAATCAAGCAGGTTATAGTGCAAGATCTTACGACCAAATATGTAACGAGCATCTTACAGTGTATAGTATCTGTCGGGTGATCGAGGCGGGATCGAGGCACGTAAAGGGAGTAGATTTGGTCGCTGCATGCCATATAAGTGCATCGTTTGCATCTTATTGGTTGAAAGATCCGCAAAACATGTAAGATGGGGGGGTCAAAATCCAACAATCTATAGTGCTCTGGAACCGTCTCGTTATGACGAAGACAAAGACGTATTCCTGTTCTTGAGATTCTGAACGAGCGCTTATGCGGATTCGTCAAGATGATTTTTACTTCGAACATCTGCGGATTCGAAGTTGCCACCCCAGGCGTAAACGGGTCCATTCGAAGCGTCCCGCGGCCATTCCGTTGTGCGACGTGTCGCGTTCTCCCAAACGAATAAGTTTGCCTTGGCTAATGCTTAAAGGGGGCGTCTGCGACGCGTACCCCTTCCGTCAGGCCCACGATGCCGACGGCACTGTTTTACCCCAAACTCGGTGCCGACGGCAGCTGCCGCCCGCATTTTTCGGGCATTTTCGTGGCGAACTTTACCCCCAAGAGTGCGCCATATTGTCGCTGCGAAGCCAAGGCCCCGACGCCCCCTTTAAGTCCGAAGCTTTCCCCTGCACTCGGAAAAAAGAGATGCCTGAGGTAAGTGGGCAGAGGCCAAGCTTAGCAACGAGCAGGAGGATAAGTGGTGCATGTTTAGTGGTAATACTCTCCCGGCCACAGGATGCTCTCTTGTGAATCTGGGAGTGAGTTTCTCGAGGAGAGCACAACTCCTAGATGCGTGTCATACGGAACGCAACCACATAGCCTAATGTTTGAACAACCAGGTATCCGTCCCACGATTTCGCGCAACTCTATGTTTTGCACTCCATGACCCTCGTCTTCAAGGCGTCGTGTGCCCTTCCTGGGAAATGGAAACCGATTCCTCACTCGTTTGGAAGATGCTCCTCTCTCCTCGATGTACTTCCTTGCGTTACGGTCTTTCCCCTCGCAACACGGTTGTAGACGGGGAATGATAAATCTCGTCCGAAAATCTGAACAATCATCAGCAGTGGACCTCCTTACCTGCATTTTGCCGATCCACCCTAGGATACGTTCGTGAGATATTGCGCTGATCGCGTGCTCGCACAGGCGGTTGGACCGATGACGTCAGCGTCGGAGCCGGGCGCGCGCGAGCTCGAGGACGCCTCGATCGAGGGCGCCTTTCCTGGGGCAGGTGTTGAAACGCCTGCGCGCTGCAGCGGATGAAAAAGGCGTGGTGTTGGGCCGCCGAAAGAGGGTCATTCCCACTTCACATGACACGTCCAGTTCTGCTCGATACCGCCGTTTTTGGCCGACTTGGCCGCTTCGCAATCAGAAAAAGACGTATAATCGTCACTTCGCAGAACCGAGCAGAACCAATTTTGGTAATGGCTTGTGAAACTGGCCGTTGATTGCCCTTGAAACTTTTGATATGTAAGGAAAGCTGCGTCAAAGGCGAACAGCATGATTGGGCTGGCGACGGAGGCCTAAAGAGCGGGAATATGGGGTACAGTTCTTGGGGTGCACCTGCTTGGCTGCAATTGGAGGGGGGGAGGAAGTGAGGGGTAAAGATTGGGCGAGTCTGAGAAGGGAAGGTAATGCGCTTGAGATGCCTCAAATTGAGCGTCGCAAGGCGGGGAGGAAAGAGCAACTTTCAACGATCAGAAGTGATTTGATAAGCGCAAAGGATGCAAGCTTGTCTAAAAAAAACGGGGTTCTTACTTTGACCAGGTCTCCAGGTGCTTTGCGAGCGGGTCTCTCCTCCCTCCCAGGGCACGTTAATTATCCATGCAAATGCTCTAAAAAGAATGAGTCTGCTTTCATCATGTGTTCTTCGAAGCTTAGCGCTGAACACTTGTCATATAGTGCTTCAAGATGCATGTGCATCCAGGCCTCGGCGTACACTGAGGGGACACTGAGCCTCCTGATACAAAGAGAACAACGGCGGTTTGCCCGATGCACCCTCACTCTGCCTGATACTGATTGATGAAGAGTCACTGCAGCTTAACAACTGGACACATGATGATCTTAGCGTTCATCTTTAAACTTGCCCAGATCAACATAGACCTTCTACTTACTTGAGGTACACAAAAATATAGAATACAGAAGAATGAGCAGAATGAAGTTGCTCAGTACCCAGCTCTTTCTGGAGCCCTGATTGGCCAACTGCGATTGGATTTTCGTGGTTGTTCTTTGGCGCTGGACCGCTGTCCCCTCCCGCATACTCCTTTTTGGCTTGCAGACCGCTTTTTTGTCATGCAAGCCGGGTTGCTAGCCCACCTCTGAGGTCGTTAAACTTGTCCTCCTTGTCACCCACCGACACCAGCTAGACACTTCATCACAATCAGCATGGACCTCTCTATCATGCTCCATGCTGGCGCCACCTGCTTTTCTCCTTTGGCAGAGCGCTCATGAGAACTTTAGGACCTTGCCACATGGTACATTCGGAAACGATCGTGAGCAACCGGCCGTGGTGGAATAAGAAGGCGAGAAGGCTGGTGCAGATCCCCCACTCATGTGCAACATAATTCACCGCAGTCTATTGCGAAGGCACCGCATTGGCTGCCTGTACTTGACCTGCTCACTAACTTCCCCATTGGAATTAGCTAGCTGCAAGGACCTTGCAAGACTAATGCTGTCTGGATTTGACATGTGTGTTTGATCAGGCGCTGAGCCGATCGACGAACTGCTTCTGTGTAGGGGGCGAGCTGGCAGCGGTCGACAAAGCTTGGCGGGCCGGGGAAGCGTCAAAAGCCGGCGTTGTAACTTGTCTACAGGGAGCGCCAAGGAAAGCCATTTTTACTGGAGATTCGTAATACAGGCGAGGAGAAATATCAAGGGTGCCTACAGATCCTTCACTTAAAAAGTGCTCGAGAGGGTTTTCCGGCCGGGCTAGATCAACAATAACACAGCTCAGCTCAATATGTGCGCAGCACCTCAGCACGACAGCACCTAGGAGCCAGCTAGTCGATCAGGAAGCGGCAAGCGTGCGGCCGCGCGGTCCGTCAACCGTGTGACAAGCCTGAGGCATATGCACTCGCGCACCCCACCGAGGTGAAGCGCTCGAATTTAGCCCCGGGCCGGCCGGCCGGGACTTACTCCTCCAGGGTAAACAATTCTAGCATGCGGCCGCGCGGCCGGGGCCGGGCGGGGTTTCCGCCAGTTACGCCGTCCCAACTGCTATACCGGTAGATCCGACTGGCCGGGTGGTACGTGACCGTACGTCGCGCGGAACGACGTACGTTGCAGTAGTGCATGACGTTGTTCGCACCTGGGTCGGGTTCACATTGGGGTTTCTGCCGTAATTCGGTCTGCCATGATTCGCAATTGGAAGTACCCATGCTGACGTTTCAGCAGTTTCGGATTACGGTAGCCAGAATGGGTTCAGATTGCAATTTGGTCCATCGAAATCTTCACCGTGATTCAAAACTCTCGACCGGAGCCATGTGACTGACCACGTGAACCAGATTGAGTACACCCAGTACACAGTACCGTCAGCAAAGGCGGAGTCGTGACGATATCAAACCTGTACTTATCGTGATTGGGCTATCCAAACGCGGTCGTCGACCGCGTTTCGATAGCCTCCCGGATTTGAGTAGATTTTCGACTTCGATAAGTTCTGAAGTTCGAAGAATTGGCCGTTAGCCCGCCGACTCTGCCGGGGTGACGCCGAGTGACGCAAGTC